CCCACACACCCACACCCACACACCCACACCCACATCCACACCCACACTCCCACACCCACATCCACCCTCAGCTATTTTCTGTTTGGTTCAGAGCATAAAATGGCAATCCATGAGACATGAACAGTTCTGAAAAGTACATCTTAATTATTTCTAAAAGTCAAAGAGTATTTTTGGAACTCAATAGTATTTGTAAGGATCATTTTACAGACGAATAATTCTAACAGCAATCTTCTCTTCAGATATTACGCCATATAAGAGGGTGGATGTCGGTGTTTTTCTTTTCTTAACCCATACTACACTCAGACTCATATCCCCTGATTCAAATGCAATTATAAGTTTCTGACATAAAGATTTAACATATTTGCAGAGTGGGAGAAAATATGTGAGATAGTGATGATGAGCTATCATTTGACCGTGCTTATCGTCCGTTAACCGACTTTTGTGCGATTCAAACGACGTGGAAATAAGCTTGACGTTTGGAAAATAGTGAGTTTATAGCTATATGTTTGTAGAAGTATTTTCGAGTTAGTTAATCCATTGTCGCTGATTTTTCTGAATACCGCAAAGATACGTTCCTCCTTTTTGCCTCCTTCATACGATTCATTTTTAAAAAGCGGGACTCTCCAAATAGATCTTCTTCATATATAGAATCCGAAGATTCTTCATTCAAGCTCATGACATCATCATCGCTGTCACCAGTATCTATGCCAATTGTTACATTTTTCATTTCCCGATTTTTATGTTTCATTGATATTTGACGTTCAGCTTTTTCATTATTACTGAACAAAGTATCACGCATTCGTGGTGAAATAAATGCCAGTTGTTGTTTATCTTGGCGAGCCACTTTATACAGATACAATTGACGTTTTGCCGTTTGTTGATCGATACGGCGAGAAAACAAATAAACCTCATTTTCCAAAACTTGAGCCGAGAGAAAATGAAGAATTTGATATAATCGATTTAGAATTTTATTTTTCTCTTCATTGTCGATCATGTCCACAACTTTATGATTTTGAACATTTCCAATAAGCCGTAGTGGTCGATCATTTGAACGATGACCAACCACAATCGTTGTTACTTCACCTAAAATTGCCGAACAAAGATTCTTTTAAGAAGACTATGATTATATTTTTCATATAAATAAAATCTTGGAAAACATTTCGTATCCGTTTTTTTTTTCAAACTATTTATTCTAAATTCTCTATAATTGTTTGTGTCAGCAGTAAAAGAAACGACTTTTGAGTTGCTTTTTTAATGTGTCTTTGAAGAGTATAGCGTATGGAAATATGCAAAAATAGATTCATAGATATTTTATAGATAAATATCGTTCGAAAAGATTTTGTCCAGTTTATACTCTTGAACTTACCAAGAAATGCTTGCAACCAATATTGACGCATAATTTCCTTTGGAATATCTAGATTTGATCGACATTTGAGCTCAATTGCTTCTCCATTTCTTTTACAGATCGCATCGGTTTCAGCTGTTATTAACATTGTGAGGTTGCCAAAACGTCCTTCGATCAATTGATAGAAATTAGCTTTGAGATGATAATCAGGTGTACACATTTGTTCAAATCGATGTCCAAAATCATTCATATCAACGATTCGACGATCATAACGTCTTAGAAATAATGTTGAACCAAACTTTTGCAAACCTACTACATAATTTTCGTTGTTCATTGCAATTTTTCTCAATGAATTTCTTTCGCTTATAATATTATATTGACCAATGTTGATATCATTACGACCAGCAGCAATCAACAATGGTAAAAGTGAAGTATATTCCGGTTGAGGAATTCGCTGATTGGGTAACCTGGATGGAAATAGTGTATCCTGATTTGGCTCTTTGTAGTAAGGGATTTTAGGAGGTATGGTAATGCATCTATCATAAGCGTTAATATTTCTATAATCTTGAGGAAGATTCCATTCGAGATTATATGCAGCGCGAACTCTAGCTGAATAACGATCAGCTAAAGAGAGCGTGGTACATTCATTCCAATTTTGATCATCAAGGACTTCGAATGAAATGGGTATTTGACAACGTTGAAATACGTGGTTATCGATAGGTAATTCGCTCATATTTGTTGATAGATTAATGTATCTAAAGAAAAACAAGATCAATAATTTAGTTATCCAACAGACTATCTCTATATCCCTAACTGATATCTAGTCTAGGTGTAGGTAAGATTTTTCAAAATCCTTCAATGGTATCCTCATTTTATCATATGACCTGGATAGGTGTGGATTTAGTGATGCTCACATTAGATGACTTAAAAGAGCTCGGCTTCTTCCTGTTTTGCACTAAATATGATGAACCAAAGCCAACATCATGATTTTTTGGAAGTACAGACACGTTAGTATGGTTGTGATGGATGAAAACGATCGTATTTATAAAAAAATATTAACAACTAAACAATATATATGACTATAGCACAGAGCTGGGCAAAATACTCGAAGTACTCGTACTCGTACGCGAGGGGTCAGTAGTCGTACTGATACTCGTACTCGAGAGTGAGTACTCGAGAGTTGAAACCCAAAGAGATACTCGATGGTTCTATATTGAGTAGTTTAAAACGTATAGAACTTTTTCTGTTAAAATTTAGTTTGCGTTCTGTTTGAAAATGGAACCAATCGATGAAAACTTCTTCTCGGACGATCAAGAAATTTCTGAAGATTTCTTATCTTTGTTTCAATTATTTAATGAAGTTTCTAAAATAATTCAGAGAAAATTATATACTTGTACCGCTCTTGTTGTACCCACTGTTCCTGATGTTCTTTTTTTTTATATCGAACTTGAATTTATCTCTTCTATTCTAATTCTTGCGCCTTCCTATGAAACTCTTATTGCATCAATCAAATATAAGCTTAGTGGACTTCTTTATTTTGAAACTGATCTACTTTTCAATTCTACCTCTATATGAGAATGGTTCCCAGATGTAATTTTCTTTTTGATTTTGTTACTTTTGAGTCACATTTCAAACTAATATTCCTTCTAAACCTTCATAGTCCTATAAAAGTACGTTTTCTTGAAAAGATTCTTAGTGATTTCATCCGTCTTTTTCTAAATTATAGTTTTGAATGTGCCATAACATTCGAGCCGATGTGTCAAACACTAGTAAACCAAGTGATGCTGATGCTACAGCAAAGAGAAATGAATCGCTTAGTAAAAGATAGCGTCTTTTCCCTCATTTTAACCAATCGAAAAAGTTCACTCGATGAAAAATCGAAAATTTTAATCGAGTGCGACGCCATTTTTCATGAAGAATTTTCTGAAAATAATTTACTTTTTTCGAAAAAATTTACCTATGAATATGTTGATTTGCTTGAAATACTCAATAATACCGGTTACAGCGACTCCTAAGGAACACGCTTTTTACTCAGAATAGCTATTTTATTCATCTACATCGAGTATCATTAGTTAGAAAAAAAGCTTCTTGTTCATCTGCTTTGCTCAAAGGTAATATATACTTTAATTATGATTTAATTTACCAGAAGCTTCACAATAAACGAAAATTTTATCAAATTTTGACTTTTCCCTCTTGCTATATTCTTTCTAGGCATCGGTATGCGCATATATAATATTTTCTAGAGCTATGAATATCATTTTCTCACTAAACATTTTAGAACCTTAGAGTAATATCCGGCACAGTGACTAATGTACTACTACGTGGAGGAAAAACATACAATACTAAAACCTTTCGGAGTTAAAAATATGTTGTACATAGGCATGTGCGATGCCAGTGAGGTTACTGGAAAAATCGACACTGTTATCACCGACAGTGAGGCTCATTGGATACTGATAGATTCAGCGTCAGTGACCACTGAAAGCACTGACACCGACGTTACTGAAATACTGATGACATATGCATCAGTGATCCCTGATACACTGACATCATCAGCGCCACTGATAATCAAATTTCAGTGACCCCACTAATATGTCGTAATAATTATATACTAATGTAACATATGTGTTTAAAATAAACGAAGAATGATCAAAAAGTAGATGCATGCCTTTTTCGAGACAATCAATGATTATATTTTTAGAAAAGTGAAGAACAATAATGCATCTCAGTCGAGGAACTAGATAGCTAAGTTATAAAAACTCTTCGAGAAAAAGAAACAAATAAATGAATATTGTAGAAATACAAGTTTGCGGAAAAAAAGTAAATGCATCTTTCAAATATCCAGATAAATAAAATAAAACCGAAGTACGAAATAAAAAAAGGATGGGTGTGGCTTTGGGTGTAGGCTTTTGAAAATACTATTCATACACATACCTACACCGACACCCATCCTCAAGTACAGTTTCTCGACAGCGGTCTGTGATGGCCTCTAGGGTTCTCTGTCATGGTCCTTATTGGTCTTTGGCATTCTCTGTCATGGTCTGTGATAGTTTCTAGGAGCTCAATGTCGTGATTTGTGATGAGCTCTGGAGTTCTTCGCCACAGTCTGCGACGGTTTCTAGGGGTCTCTCTTACTGTATGTGATGGAACTGGAGGTTCTCTGGCATGAGCTGTGATGAGCTGGAGGTACTCTGTCACGGTCTGCGGGAGGGGGAGTGGTCCTAAAATTTCTATCTTATGCACGTCAACACTACTTTCAGATCGTTTTTCACGAAAGTTACAGAAAACTAAGTTCATATAGTAAAAAAACCTATCTGCATGTCAGTGAAGTCACTAAGAACCATTCATTAGTGACGACGATGATGTCAGTGCATCAGTGATCAGTGATGCAATGGCCATCAGTGTTCCAATGACTTCGGTGTTAGTGCATTCAATTTTTTTTGTAATCAGTGTCAGAGGACTTAAGGGTGTTCAGTGAGCATCACGGTCGGTGTTAGTCGCTGTTCAGCTTTCTCACACCACCCATCCCTAGTTGCACATAGAAAAGGACTTTTCACTTTACTTTTTATTTAATACTGTATTCAGAAAATTTGTACTCGTACTCGAGAAAGTGCGTACTTACCCAGCTCTGCTATAGTATGAATAGTGAATGTTGTTATATACATGTATAGCCAATCATACTAAAAGCCAGACAAACCACTTTATTGTTTAGTTTTTATTTTTTTTAAATCGATAAAAGAAAACAACCTCACTAGGGTGTTGAAATCGTTTGTATTCGTCTTGTAAGTGTATATGAATTATTCTTTTTGTTACGTGGTTGACAAATAACAAAAAAACCCACATGATTCACTATTGGCAGTGACAAAGCAACGAATCTTTGGTAAATAAAGTCTCGAGAATGTAGATAACAGTTGTAATATCAATAAAAACTATCTACATAAGACAAAAGGCGTTTGTAGATGTATGGAGACCTGAACTTCAGTTTTTTATATATAAGAGTTTGACAAGAAATTCCATATGAGTCTTGTGCATTATCAAATGACTAACGATTATTAGAGATACGATTCCGAAAAAAAACAGATATTTAAGTAGATAAATGCGAAAAACAACGTTTTAACCCTTGACAGATTCAAAAACTCATAGAACGATAAAATAAGATCTGCTCTAGCCCTTCACAAGCCAAGATTTTTTTATAATTATCTTTTGACTTACGCGTTCCACGTGTCCAACAGCAACGTATAATGATATTGGACATTCTTACATTTTCTAAAGCGTCTTTTCTCGATATCTGCACAGACTGTTATCTTCCATATTCGCTTTACTTTTATTACTTGTAAAACAAAAAGAACAAATATGACTATTTTAACTTGTTTCTTCCTTGATCTTATTATTGTTTTTGCTTAGCAGGAGTGATGTCATAATATACTTACAGATGGTATCCAAAATTTTAACAGCAACATAGGTGTGGGTGTGGGGGTGGGTGAGTATGGGTATCAATTCACAGAAGACACACATCCACACACCTACACCGCGCATAGCCAAACCTACACCCGCATCCACACTCACACTTACACCCACACACCCACACCCACGCCCACACCCACCCACACCCCACACCCACACCCACACCCACACCCACACCCACACCCCACACCACATACCCACCCACACCCTCAACTTATGAATTTGATAAGTATTTTATGTCTAGCTGTCAACCAAGCCGAGATTTTTAGGCTAAAAATTCAACCAATCGGATATTTTCAATATCTGACTGTTCCTCGATCAGACTTTTACCAGGGTGTACGTATGTAAGTAATGAGAAAACCCACAACTGCACCTACTGACTGACACCCACTTCCTTGATTGGATGCGCTTTATAAGCTCATTTTAGAAAACAAACGAAAAAAAGACCTTGTTTGTCGAAGACGATGAAAAGCAAGAATGAAAGGAAAGAGTGGCAGTGAAAATTTGTGTGTGCGTTTTGTTTTTATTCTGGTGGCAAAGAAAAAATGACAGAGCAAACATACATTCGCATGATTTTTCTTTTATTAAAGCTATTTTTTTATGGCTGACGGTTTGTTGTTTTATTTTACTTTATCAAGTTACATATCTGTTAGAATGAAAAATATACGCCTTTAAGGTAATCTATCGCTCACTAAAACATTCAAAAATAATTCGTACTATATGCAATGTAATATTACTTGCAAGTGTACTTTCGCTAATATTCACATATATGGTACCAAAAATATTAAGTTCACACAACTCGTGGATATAGGCTTTTGTTTTGGTGATTCACTGACGTCTAACTGGAGCAAGAGAGTGTAGGTATTATCTTCATCGAAACCGATACCCACATTTCCTTTATTCTTTTTATTTTATGCAAAATTTCACACGGCACGATTTTCCGTACTAAATAAACTATTAAGAAAAAAACACGCAGAAAATCTAAGGCATCCACGATAGAATCTTGCGCGATTCGAAAAGTTTCAACCCACACCCAGAATGACAGCTGATCAGATGGCAAATGTAGATCGGATACAATAGGACTGTAAGATTCTCATTGTAGCATTCTTTTAGATGTTATTTAGTGTTTACCAAAAGTTCTTCAATGTGCGCAATCTTAACTGATTCTATTCGGTTAAATATTTGCTCTATAAACTTGTTCACCATAGTAATTTTACTGGAACAGGCAGCAGTCTTGAAATTATCTACTATGGAGGCCAAATGAATTTTCCCCCTTTGTATTTTTTTTCCTTTTATTACTATATGTCTTTTATTTTTCAACTTACCATATATAGCGAGAAAGCTCAGAACGCGCTGCATCTTTTGGTATATTTGGGTTGAAGAATCAAATGGAGTTTAAAGGGAAAACAGTGCATTAGAAAAAAAAAGTGACAGATTTTTTTTTTCCAAATATATACCGGATAGTCCATAAGTAAGGAAACGAAAAAAGAAATTGAATATCTCTATTAGAACTTGACCAAACAGGCTCATTTTTATACCAAGGCTAGAAGCCTGTTCACACTCTAAATCTATACGAGCAAGGTTGATGAGAATCATTGTTAAGTATCATTAGTAACCTCAATAAAAAATTTCACCTTTTCACACATAGGAAAGATTCAATGTACAGGGTAGCTGAAAAGTCAGTTTTCTAAAAAGAAAATTGAATATCCCCATTATGGCTCTAGCGAACAAGTTTATATTTTGACCAAAGATAGAGGCATTTTCATACTCTAAATCCATACGGACAAGATTAGTATGAACCTTTGTTAAGTATATTTCTTTCTTTTCTAATCTGTGAAAAGGTAAAATTTTCTTGTTGAGGTCACTAGTGATACTTAACAATGATTTTCATCAACCTTGCTCGTATAGGTTTAGAGTGTGAACAGGCTTCTAGCCTTGGTATAAAAATGAACCTGTTTGGTCAAGTTCTAACAGAGATATTCAATTTTTTTTTCGTTTCCTTATTTATGGACTATCCGGTATATATTTGGAAAAAAAATCTGTCACTTTTTTTTTCTAATGCACTGTTTACCCTTTAAACTCCATTTGATTCTTCAACCCAAATATACCAAAAGATGCAGCGCGTTCTGAGCTTTCTTGCTATATATGGTAAGTTGAAAAATAAAAGACATATAGTAATAAAAGGAAAAAAGATACAAAGGGGGGAAACTCATTTGGCTCCCATAGTAGTAAATAGATTCATCCACAATTTATTCAACATAGAATCACATATACTACGATGCTTTCGGGATACTTCCTCCCGCGATATGGGTATAGGTGTGAGTGCAGAGGTGACGAACATTCATACTTACATCCACAGCCTCCCACACCCCACACACTCTGAGTGGGTATAGTGGAGGCTATGGATGTGGGTATGAATGTCTGTCACCTTTTCACACACACACACCCATATCCATTTCACGGGAGCATCTGTCTGGGGAGCAACATTCGTGTTACCTTCATCGTCATTGAAGCAGCTGGCCAGAGTGTTGATTGAAATTTACAATGTAAGTGTCTTCTCAATCTTCTTTTTCTGTGTACCCACTTTGATCTTGAGCACTTGCTGTTGAAAAATCACTTCTTTGCTCCGCAGGCAACCGATGAATATCCAGATATTGAGGGGAGTTTTGTTGGTACGCTTGTTAAAACAGTAATTTCACCCTAGTCGAACGAAAGGAGAGAGCTTCTTGTCAAAAAATTTGATGGATACAGAAGAGCATTGTTCACTTTCGACATCGTTGTTGATGGTATGCACGATGTGATTGAGCAAAGTGCAGAAAGAAAAAGAAAAACGATGGTGTCCGATAGACGACCGAAAAGAGATACAATGCCTCACAACCATGCATCACATACTACTGTATTCACTTGAACTTTCTAGTCCTAATCGAACGTTTCGCTCGCTAATCGGCATACACATTCGTTTTTGTACATTGGTCAATAGATAGAAAAAGAAAAGGGTTTCTCTCGTTTATTCATCTCTCTTTGAACATTTGTATTTTCCCTTATTCTGTATACCATTGGTGCATTGTTTCGAGTTTCTAAACACAATCATCGAGCGTTACTGAAGCAGCATCAAAATAATGTCGCATCCAGAAAGACATATTTGAACTTCTATTGCAGTTACAAACGAAACGCATGCGTATCTGGTTACTTCACGGTTGATAACAATTGCACTTGTGTCACAGATTACTATGTACTGACGAGTTCAAAATAGACCGTAGAACCACTTAGACTCGTATGTGAAATTTTTCTTTGACCATTAAGGAAAAAATCTCTCGTCTATATTAACATTGATCTTCTGACGACAATCGTAATTAGATTTTCACTTTTTATCGTTCGTATATTTACTTTTCTTTCTATGAAAACATTCGAGCAAGAGGAGCAACAATAGAAATGTGTCCGTCTCTTCATGATGCAAAATGGCGTGTTCTCTATTCTTTAACAAATTTACTTTTTCTTTCAAATCGAAAATTTTTGGTGAGTCAAATAAACAGTAAGCAATCAGTGAATTGAGTTGAGATCGATGAAGCTTCAAGACGGCTGACATTTATTTTCTGTTCCTTTTTCTTGTTTTTTTTTCAATTTTGCTTCTCAAGTCACCAAACAATCATTAGGAAATCACGAATTGTGACTCGTTCAATAGCGATTACGCATAGGTGAAGACAGTTATCGATTTCAAAAAACAAAACTTCCAAGAGCTTTTTGTGTTTTTAACAAACAAATGAACTTTTCGTTTCTACTCTACAGCTTGAGATGTCATTAATATTGAATAATGACAAGAATAAATCCTAGTCGGCAGCCGAAATCAAGCATTTTTTATGTAAATACAGTGAAAATAGAGTCTTGTTATCTTTTATCATATTTCAAACACTATCTTCTCATTTAGAAACTAGAAATAACATTAGCATCGTCGAAGTTTAACATTACTGGATCACTTGGCATTGTTGTCAAAACTGTAAAAAAATATGCTTTTTTAGGTAGTATAAAAACAACGATGAATGCGTTATCATAATGTTTTTCTTATAATTCTTTGTAGGAACAACCTTCCAACGAAAAGTTTCGAACCATTGTAAAGTCTTTAATCATAGTCATAAACACAATTAAAAACATTTTCTTCAGAGCCAAGAAACTTTCGAGGAATATGGTTATTTTTGAATCGTTCTGATGCAAGGGAATCCTTTTGGATGAGTGTGTTACCATGAAATTCTATCCTTCCAGAGTAGAGAGCTGCGGACCGAGTCCGAATTCGAGCCAGGGTCTGAAAATTTAGCTTTTACCGGGTCCAAAAAAAACATGAACCCGTAGCTCTCTATTCCAGAGTCATCATAGTTGGGTCAAATGAAATGAAAATTTTAGTGAAACTAGAATTTTCATACATTTAGATGTTGCATAAGTTTCAGCGCTTTGTCACCGTAACTTATTGAATTATGACAATCTGAACGGCAAAAAAGAGGAGTGATTGAGTTACCTGTGGACAAGCTGTATATCATAATAATCATTGTCGAGTATTCAATTTTTTTCCGTTTTCAAAATATAACTGTTCATTTTTTTAAATTCATTTCTTTGTTTATAAATTATGATTGTCAGCTGAAAATATGAACATACCTTAAGATTATCATCTGAAAATAAATGTAATCCTTAGAAAAAATCATAATCATATTTTGTATATTGCAGATTTATTTTCAGTACATAACACATACTATATTTTTGAGTCAATCATTGTGTGAGCGAACAAATGGATCAACATTTGTCAAATGTAAATTTACAAATTGTTGACCGAACTAACAAAGATGAAACGGTGCTTAGTCCAGAATCGATTGTATCTGGTAATGGTAAAGAAAGTATCAATTTATTTTTATCGATGAAAACACTTGCTAATACAACAATACATCCAACTCAATATGATACTAATAATCAAATTTTGAATTCTGAAAAATTATTAATAAAACAAATTCAAAATTATCTATTATTACTGACCAAGTCTGATGAAGTGACAAAGATCAACACTAAAGTCAACAATATACTTATAAAAAATGGTTTTGTACCTACCGACCATTATCAAAAAGCAATTCAAGAAATGAAAGCTATTTTTGACAAGCAACAACAACTACAAAAATCTTTAAGAAAAAAAGTAGATGCTGATAATAATAATGATCGATCCATTTTTGCAGAGCCATGTATCGAATCTTCAATGAAAGACAAAAATATTTCACCGATTGAAACTACTACATCCATTCACAGTGCTCAGAAATCTACAATGACACAAGAAAAAATAGAAATCGAAGCTCAACAATTTTCTTATTTTACTATACAATTGTTAACATCATTATTGCTAGTTTCAATCAAAGCTAATGAAAGAGTCGATCCATCAATTACTTTGCAGATAATAATATTAGCAAGTCAACTGTGCGAGCAAATTCCTATTAAATATTTATCATCTTTCGAACTATCGTCAAATAGCAATAGTTTGATGTTTAAATCGTTGAAACCATTGACAAATTATATTAATGAACTATTTTTGTCAACAGATCCTATTTTAGCAACACAAGCCGCGCAAATTTTGTTAAAGTTTTCAATTGCACAAGCATCATTCAAAGATCTTCTACCCATAATAAGTAAATTAATACTCAATACAACTGACATTTACAATGTACGGTATTTATTTCTACAACTAAACAATTGTCTTACAGAAACTATCAATCAGTTCGAACTAGAAAAACAACAATTAGACAATGGACCACAAGATGATTCTAATTATAGAGAAGACAAAGAAAATGACACAATATCAAAGAAAACAACAGGTTAGAAAATTTCTTCAGATGCATATGTAGCCTTCCTCCAAGGTAAATTTTCTCATCGAGATAACATGAATATTTGTTTCGACTGATATTAAGTAATTCTAACATTACAATAAGTTCATTAGATAAATAGAGACAACAATCGCAGTTCAACTAACGTGTAAACAGAATGCATCTAATTAATATTTGTGCTCATTTTATTGTATCTTTTTTCTAAAAATGAGCTTAGAAATTATGCGTTGAGTTTTGCTTGAGAATAGTAAATGAATATTTGACACAACCAAAAACTTCTTTAATATATCAGCTTGTAAAGCAAAGTTTATCCGACAACATGTATGATTGGATGTTCTTTTTGTCCTTTGATAAGACACCAGAGACCGAAAAAGAACCGATTCTAACCGAACCGAACTCGAACTGATTCTTAAAAAACGAATCCGAACCGAACCGAAATTGAACCACTCTTGAAAAAACGATGTCAAACTGCACCAAACTGAAACTAGTAATTTTTGAAAAGCGAGTGAATGTAAACAAACGTATAAGAAAAATGATTGTTTGAGGTATCATCTTTTCTGTAAAATTGTGATGCTTGATCGACTGTTTTACATCAGAGACCGAAAAAGAGCCGAATTGAATCCGAATCGCTCTTTCAAAAATGGAGTCGAACCGAACTGAATTTGAACTATTTTTTAGGAAACAAGGACGAACCGAACTGAACTTGAACCATTAAAACTCGGTTCGATTCAGCATCTGTAAGACACCTCAATCTTCGTGTTTTCTATGCTCTCATTTTTGAAAAGATCGATCTATTTTGACCGCAGAAAATGTTTACAGTTTTCTGCTAGAGATGAGACCCATATTCTACTTGTCTTCAACAAAAAAAATTGCTACGCTCTTAGATTTAGTTCTCAAAAGCTTCTGATAAGAAACGAGAGTTGAAAATAATTCTGATGAAAATAAAACATTTTTAGACGAGTTAACATTAATTTCATTGGATTATTTGAAATTAAATGGAGTATTTCCTAACACAAAATTAATGGAACTACATGAAACAAGATTTACTAGTGAATTCATTTCATCGGTTATTCTGACACACATTGATATTTATAATGGTATCAACTTACACAAACAATTCAAAAATGGTACAATTCATAGTTCAATTTCATTTGAATTTCATCCGAATACATTCAAACAATTATTTAATATTCTCGAACAGTTGACATTAATGATAACACAAAATTCGAATTCAGTTCTTATTCATATTCTAACTGTATGCGTAAGATTATTTAAAACACATTTACAATTTCTTTGTGCCATGAAATCAAATGTTGCCAGAGAATTATTGACAAAACTTGATGATGAAATAATAAAAACTACTCAAGAATCTTCTACTGAAAGTATGGATAACAACATCGATTTGACAACATTTGCAAGTAATGATGAATTAAGAAAATGGTTTGATTTATTATTAAAATTAGCTTGTGATGATGACAAATCAAAATCGACAACAATGTGTATAGAAGCATCGAAAGCTCTGATTTATGTTATGGATTTAAAAGTAACGTCATTTACAGAAAAATTATCATTTATGCATAAATATATTATCGAAAATAAATATCAAACATTAATCGAACAATTCTTCATCGAACTAAATAACACAGTTACACTATTAAAGTGGATTGAAATTCTATATGACAATAACGATAACGAATCAGAAAAAATTGAAGCATTAAAAGTATTGTATTCGTTCGTTGATATTTGCTTGGGTTCAACGAGTGATTTAAACAAAGAAAAAAAGCAACGAATTAAACAAATATTAGTTTTATTCCAACAATTTTTTTTAGTTCGCTTAGTGCCACAATCTAGAATGAAAAGAATTCAAAGCGAAGCGACGGATAATAATGAAATGGAAACATCAATTGATACGACTTCTACATCATTTTTTGCTCAATATATCTCATATATACTTACAAGTTATATGAACAAAGTAGAGAAAACAAATGATTTAATCAATCAAACTCTTGTTAGTTTATGTTTAATGATACACACAGGAATTTTTAGTTTCGCTTCAGTTCAACCAATATTCACATCTGTCTTACCATTATTGGCAGACTATCTGCTGCAGAACACAAGTAATGAAGAAGATACTATGGATTGCCTTTATTGGCTAATTGGAAAGATGAGTTATGCGATGATTAATGGTCCACAACAAAATTCATTGGAAATAAAACATGTCAACAAATTGAAATCGTTTCTATTTGCTGGTGGATGTGAGAAAACCACAATCGAACATAATAAATATTTATTAAATTTATATGAGTCTGATCTTGCTGTTTACAGCAACTTTCAATTGTCAAATTCAAATCAACAGTCATCATTAGATCATGATTTTCTAATGTCAGTATATAATAACATCAATCAAGGTGCACAATTAATATCAAAAATGAAAATCTATGTCAAAAACCGTCATCATTTACTTAAATCAATTGAACAACAAGCAAATGATGCATGTGCAGCTCTATTTTCTGTCTATATTAAACATTATCGTCGAATTAATCTTGCCAAATGGGAACTATCTCAAACAGATGATAAAAGACCTCATAGTAAACTTTTATCACTTTATGAATATGCAAGTCATGTTCAAACATTATTTATTACAACGAAAGCACAAGGTAGAGATTGTGATGAACTCTACAAACAAATCAAAATGAAAACATTATTTCTATTATCAACTATTAAAGAAAGTAATTTGATTCCCATAATTCAAGATGATTTATTACAACTAATAAAACCTGTGGCAGATATACAACAAGAACGAACAGGATTTGTTTTACGACGACGACGTTCACGATGGACAACAGCAAGACATATATTTACAATTCTACGTCATACACTACATGCTTGTATTCGATTTAAAAAATTAATGCTAGCTAGAAAACGAGCCATTGAACAAAATCAAGATAATGAGAGTATTTTAAATAAAGAAATCAATAATTTTGTTTGTAGTAATCTTAACCGAAACATTAAGTCGATAACAAATGAAGAAATAAAATCGGAATCTGATGAACTCACTCAATGTATTGTACAACAACATGAACGTGCAATGATTCGATTGATTACATATCGATTTATTTATACATTTATACACAACGTATTAAAAATCGAAGAAGAAAAGCAACGAGTTTCGACGATTTTAACTGTATACTTACCATATCTGAGAAAATCAAATGTTAATTGGTTCTATTTAGAAAATATTGAAGCAACAAATAATGAATTGAAAGACGAAATTCGAAATAATTATTATTCAATCATCAAAATTATTTTATCCTTTGTTTTACAATCAAAAATATCCGAACGAAATATGTTCAACTTATTAAATCTATCGTATAAATCAGCCGACATTTGTCTTCTTCATCATCATCAATTTATTGAAACATTATTCAAAACCTATGTCAGTTTTGTAGGAGAAATAGATCGTATTATTTCACTTCATACGAAATTAATTGGATACAATTGGTTTCGACTTTATATATTGAAAGTATGTAAAAATATTCAAATAGAAGAGTTGAAACGAAATGTTAATGAAGAATTAATACAACAACAACAATTTATTTTTAATACATTGATTTTAAACGAATTGAAAGGTTTGAGACGATTAAAACAAACATTATCAATTGATGCAAAAGATGATGATATTATAGATTCTATAGAATGTAGAAATCATTCTTTGAATAATTCTTCAATTGGATGGTTTATTTATGTAACAGCTAGAAATAAAACAACAGAATTTTCAAATAATTTATCATCGAAATTTGAAATTGAACTTTGTACAAATCAATTATTGATACTTTTACTTCGATGTGTTCATTTCTATGAACATTGTCGATTCGTATGTGGAACTGTTGATTTTATTGAAGAACTTTTATATATTTATCAGAATAGTCAAAATAGAGCGACGATTTTACTTGTACTGAAAATCTTACGTGACTTACTTCCCTCATTACCCGAAACTACAAATGGAACATCAAATACCATGATTAACAAATTATTAAATGACTTTTTATTTTCTATCGGTGATAGGTGCACTTCACAAGCCATCTCATCAGAGATAATTACTGAATTAATTTACATTTATCGTACAATAATGTCATATAAATCACCATGGCAAATGATGGCCATACAACTAATTTTTGATAGTATCATTTCGAGCTCAAATGATATCGATTGGCAATCATTCGAGACCACGGATACCAAACAATGGAATTATTTATTAGCATCATTATATATTTTAGGTGGATACATTCAACCATATGGTTTGGGTTCAATCGTGAAAATCTATACTGATGAAGAAAACAATCAATACGAAATTGGTATAATTATTGATATCGATATGAATGCTCGTGATCAAGCTACACCTGATACATCATCTTATTTTATTCAATATTTACAAGAAAATAAAACTGAATGGATTACAATCGATAAATTAGAAGTTAAAGTAGATGTCTCTCCACCTAATCTATTTGCTTTACCAAATATGAATGATTCAAATCTAGCTATACATTCACTTCTTGATACATTAGGATATATCATACAAATTGATATATCATCAAGTGATTCATTACGTCTTTTACAACTTAAACGTTATTCAATTACTACTCTATATAGAATCTTAAGTAACAATCAAATAATCGATCTTTTTATGCAAAAACCATATGCTTCATTTATTGCTCAATTATCAATAAGAGATTTATTCGGAGAAGTTGGTTTTCAACTGACTGATTTACGTCTATTTAACAGATCACATTTGGAACAATACAGTTTTAGTTTAGATAGATGCGAACGATTGAAACAAATCGTACTTAATAATCGTAATAATGTTAGTGATCGAATTACTACAGATACTCAAGCTAATTCTTCATTTGACACTTACAATAAATTTGATATTAAATCAGATCAACCAATCGTAAATACATTATCAACAAGTACAATGATATATAACGGATGGAAGCCGTATGCGTCAAATATCGAAATTGAGCTATATAAGAAGGGTCGAATTGGTAGCGATGAAATTTCAATTGTACCATTTCCACGTGATGTAGCTGGATCGGATGTAATTGGAGAATGTGGCAATAAGCACCGATTTAAAGGTCGAATCTATATGAATGATAACAACTATCACAAAAGCTTTCCTTCATTTATTGTTGAAAATTTAGAATTGAATGAAGGTAATTGGTACTATTGTGTTAAGTTGCCATTGGCCGGTCTTATTCAAATTGGATGGGCGACAACGGGATTCACGCCCAAAACCAACGAAGGAATAGGCATAGGTGATGATAAATATTCATGGTCATTTGATGGATCACGTGGTACTCTATACGGTGATCAAGAATTTCAGTTTTTACCGACAAATATTCGTTGGAAAGAAAACGATGTTTGTGGTTGTGGAATTGAAATTAATGGTGAAGATACTCGAATCAAATATTGGTTGAATGGAAAATTCTTAGGTACAGCATTTGCACATCAATTAAATATGACATCGACAACAGTTAAATGTAATCTGTTACCAAATGGACCCAATACAACTTATTTTCCTGGTGTTACTGTACAAGCACGTCATGGTGAGAAAGGTTGTTGTGAATTTATATTTAGTCCAGAAGACATGATCGAATGTCCGCTACCTGAAGGTTATAAATCAATATTAATGCCAAAAGTTAGTCATAATAAAGGTTCTATTGTTGCGTATCCATATAGTGCCTATTTAGTCGGTGATGATGTTCAAAACTTTGTTTATACACCACGAAGTACATCATCGACAATTCTTCTACGTGATTTTGTTAATGCACATCATATAGAAACTCCATTAACTATCAATGATCATCAATTAATATTAGCGGAAGATAGTGATGGTTTTCCGTTGTCGATTGATAATCAAATGATATCATTAACAATTAGTTTTGATTTTCAAATTTTAACAAAAAATCAAAGTGATTCGAATGACACATTTGACGTTCTACTATTTACATTACAAACAATTGAAAAACATTCAGTACGAATACCATTGAATAAAAACAATGAAGAAACAAGAACTGTTATTTTAATTCATCCAAAAGAACAAGAAATTAAAATCTATATAAACAACAACATTTGTCAAACAATAAATAATCAATTTGATAATCAAACAATGACGAAATTTAATTTTCATTTTCTACCTAATATTGCTGTTGGGATAAAAAATTTTGCTATTTGGAAATATACACTTTCAGAAGAACATATTCGACGTATATTTACTAGCGGTATATCTTATATAGCCATTGATTATAAACAACAGAATGAATATCGATTACAATCAAACACATTTACATTTACGAAAAATCAACAGCAATTTCAAAATGAATTTCTAGTTCCATTCAATGAATCATTTGATGAGACTATATGGAAACAAAAGCAAAAACAAGTTGACATAGATGAATCAAAATATTTTAAAACAATCAATGAAACTGATGAATCAATTGTACAATTGTATGGAAATCAAAGTTATCTCGTTGTAAACAAATCCATTTATGAATGGGATAATTATACACTTATTCTCGATATTTCAATACCTAATTTTCCAACGACTGAAGAACAATTAACCATAGTTATATTGAATTTACAAGCAAAAATATTTATAACACCCAATGGTAACCTTTGTCTTTCTACGATTGAAGAATATAACGAAAGTGAATTAACATTAAATTTAAATGAATTTATACGTTTACTCATTAGTGTAGATAATAAATTGATCAAAATCTATGTTAATGGATTATTAGCACTTGACTCTGAAGTCGATAATGATTCATTAGTTATGAGTTCGAATCAAATTCATTTATTTAGAGAAATTGATTTCACTGAGAATACAACAAATGATCATACACTTCGAATTGAATGTAAATCAATTACATTTCTAAATCGATCAATAATGAATGCTGACTTAGATGAAACACTAAAATCACCAAAATATTCATTAGAAACATTAGTTGCACCACCATTTTCAATAATTGCAATAAATCTAATTAATATTGGATACGAAGTCGAATGGATAAAATCCGTTATGAACCAATATAAAACGACCAATCTTCAAATGATTGATACAATTATACGTGAACATAAAGAAGAATTTTTAAAGATAGACATTCAAAAACGACAAAAACGTATTTTAAATATTTTATCTAGATTAGGTTCATCGATTGATAAAGAAAAATTAGAAAATTTACTCAATACTTTAGAAATTGATACCGATAATCAAATTGTAACTATTTGTGAACTCATATTAGCTCTTTGGAATGAGTTACAAATATCAAAACCTTTAGTTGTTGAAAGAGACATTGCAAATGATACTAGTTCAGATCAGAAGAAGGAAAAGACATGGTTCCATCGTACAATTGATGAATTCTGTTTAAATTATAATTTTACTGAATGGATTCGAGATAAATCTACAATAATGAAAGAAACAGATACTACTTATCAATTATTCGATTTGAATAAATCAGAACAAGAACAAAAAATAACAGCAACAAGAATATTTGATCAACGAAAAAAAATTAAAAAATCTATTCAATATTCACATAAGAATATTTCGTACAAACAGTATTTAGATTCTCGTATTGCATGTGAACATGGATTAATATTGATCTATGCACGTGACATAATTTTGAATATGTCGAAAATCTGGTCAAACAATAGTTTACATATATTTCCATTGGAAAAATTTGGTAATCATCCATTCATTATAAAATTATTACGATCAATTGACTATCATTATACAAGCATACGTTTAGATGATAGTGTAGATAGAATAAGTTTTTTAGTAAAATCTATTCTCAAAAATGAAATAAAAGAATTACTAGTTGAAAATATCGGTGCTAACAGTGAAATTCTATCAAACAAAGTGCCCTTACTTTATCATTTACGAAAGGATATTATTATTGAATCGATTCGATGTTTATTGAAACTCTCATCATCGATAGACGAATTCGATGGCAAAATAACAATAATTGACGAACGAACAAAAAGTGAAGAATCGAATTTAAATTTTATTTTCAAAATATTAAATCTATTCGTTGAATTAGTAACTGATAAATCAACAATGAAACAAAATGAAATTGATATACTTATCCCATTTTTATTTCCCGAGCCATTAATCAATGTGATGTTTGATCTATTTCTATTACTTCCAATACATCAATCAAAGATTTGCATTCTTCATCTATTTGTTACGTGAGTTAAAAACTTTATAGAATATCCTTATTTTTAACACGTTACACTCTACAGAAGCATTTTCGTTTAGTTTTCTCATAAAAAAAACATTTATCATGTTTTTATTAAGATGAAAAACAATTTATAACGGAATCTCTAGAAATGTTCACTCGTATTTCATCTCACTTTTTGATTAGATCAAGTTTTTTTTTGGAATAAGCGGGTGTTCGATTTAGATTTCTCTTCGTGAATAGATCTAATAATCACTAGAATATCATAAGTTTCATACAATTCAAATTCATTCCCTTAAAATATTGCAACTTTTTAACAGCAATATTTGTTCATCTGTCAAACAAGATATTCATTTTGCTTTCAAAGAGATCATTAATTAGCCTAAGAGATCCAATAAAGCAAACCATCTTATAGTTAATTCAAAAATGAGTTAAGAGTTCAACAGGCTATCTCGCCATAAAAAAAATTTACTTGTGGAATTGATAAAATAAAATGAAAGATATGATGCAAGAGTATGTGTTAATAATTATTAGAGGAAGAATACTGTAGCTTGTAAATATGATGCACAAAAAATTGTTTGATCTGCGTTCTGAAATGTGACACAAACTTTAGCAGTACGATTGCATCAAGTTATCCAACAAGTGATGAACCACGATTTTTCGAAGAAAAAAAAATGCAGATTGTTTAATCAACGAAAAATTAATCTTGTTCAATTTCAGTAAGAGTTATGATAAAAGTACATACTATATGGTGCATTTCAACAAGCAGTAGATTTATTTCGAAAACAAGAAAATACATTCTGACTATTTTCGACTTATTAATCCGAATATGTCGTAAGCACACGACTTCATGTGTTCCTAGCAGAGATGTTCGTGGTGGTGTCGTAGTGCGGCGACAGACTTTTTCTCGAGGACGATGCAAAAATGCATGAGTTTGAACAAAGTTTCAGTGTCCAGAGATATTACACTCTTGGACCCAACGAATTTCATCGGTTAATAACAATAGTTCTAGTCCAACACAGTCTCAGCCGTGAAATTCAAAGTATCTTTCTAACAATCACTGCGGTACCAGGAGCTTTTTCTATAGTTCATCATGGCGCAGTACAGTTAGTTTTAGGTGGGGGGCGTCAGCTTTTTTTGTTTTTTTATTCGTGGCAAGTTTTCAGCTGCGATGGACATCTCTGGTTCCTAGTTATGAAAAATTTAGAATTCAATTACAAAAATGATCTATTTGTTTGTATTTATTTTTTCTAGTTTAATGCAAACAAGTAAAAAGTTTAGTTTAAATGAACGAATCGAACATTTTATGTCCCAATTATTGATTGAATTATTATCAAATGAAGCATCTATGAATAGTCGAACAATAAAAATATTACGAATCATTGTCATGGATTTCGTCTTTCTGGATTTAGCAAGACAAAAATCTCAACTTAGTACAACAAACAATGTAAATCAACAATTCGAAATCAAATTATATGAATTTCCACAAAATTTTCAGAATCTATGCATGGTCATCGATATTATTAATGCAATGACAGATGAAACAAAACAAACACAATATCCTGAATTGTTGATCATACAATCATACGATATGTTGGATGAAACTCTCCCATTCACTTTAGATGATATTGCAATTTCAAACTATTATTTTGATCATACATCTGATCTACAACTGATTAGTCTAATGAACAATGATGCATTGATTGAACATTCATTCAGTGAATTCATTCATAGTCTAGCAATCGATAATATGCCAAATTTGACACGTTTCGAACTCTATCCATCCTTATTGAATATCCCAGTAAATTGTATACAAAATCGTGCAAAACTGTTTCATCTATTCGAGATATTTGTCGAAAAATTTTTATCACTTCTTGATTTCAGTTTGTCTCCGAAGACAAGTATTCTTACAGATAAAATTCGAATAGTCAAAAATTATTTATCAAATAGGAAAAGAATTCAATGGTTTGAACACTCATTGATAGAAACGAAAGCAAATCAATTTTCTACTTTTCCTACTATACAATTTGATTTTGTGAAAGCAAATGGTACTGAAAATAATGAACAACGTACTACATTCTATCAAGGTTATGAACAATTACATGAAAATGCTCATCTATTATTTAGAAATGATGATAGTCAACGACTTTGGGAAGCACAATATATTGGAATGCATAGTATCGATCATGGTGGGCCTTATCGTGATTCAATCACAAGTATGTGTTCTGATATATGTAGTACACGATTGCCATTATTTATTTTATGTCCAAATGGTCGAACAAATATTGGTTTGAATCGTGACCGATGGATTCCAAATGTATTTCCACCGAATCAATCAATTCCAATTGAAATCAAAAAACAATATCAATTTATTGGACAATTAATGGGTATGGCAATAAGAAGAAAACATCATCTAGATTTAAAATTTCCCAATTTATTATGGAAACAATTACTAGAAGAACAAATAACTATGAAGGATATTGAAGCAATCGATATACAAAGTTTTGCAATTATTAAAGAAATGGAAAATAATATAAAACAAAATAAATCTATCGATATTGGCAGTGATACCAATTATTTGTTTAGTAGTATTATGAGTGAACTTCGATTTGATATTGTTAGTTCAGCTGGACATACATATGAACTGTTTCCTGGTGGTAAAGATATTCCAATAATAGCCAATAATTTCAATGAATACTGTACATACTATCGTGAATATCGTCTAAATGAATTTCGTCGACAAATTGAATATATTCGTCAAGGTTTATGTAGTGTCGTACCGAATAATTTGATGACATTACTTACAGCTAGTGAATTAGAAGAGGCCGTATGTGGAAAACATCAAATCGATATTGCTTTACTGAAACGAAATACTCAGTATAATAATTCCAATTTAGAAACTCCATATATTCAACGATTCTGGAAAGTTTTAATTGAAATGTTTGATGATGAGCAGAGAAAATTATTTTTAAAATTCGTTTGGGGAAGAAATACATTGCCAAGTGGAGATGAAGATTTTAGAGAAAAATTTTCAATCAATTTATTAATGAGAAATGAATATGAGGCAGATATAATGCTTCCACGTAAGTAGAGAAGGAGGTAATCACTATGGGCAATATAGTTCATGAACACGAATAGTTAGTGATCTACTGTTTTCCACATAAGAGAGACAAATATGAGGCAAGAGAACCTACAATAGAAAAAAAGTTTTTCATTGGATCTTTATACGAGATTTTAGAAAAACATCTAGTTTTTGAGCGAAGTGTGTGGGTGTAAGTGTGTCTGAACAAACATTCCACACAGATACTCAAACTCACATCCACATCCTCTTTTAGATTTCTCTTAACTTATTTTGGCTTGATTCAAGATAAAAAATTGCAATGTATAATTTTTTAATCATTACCATTAAGATATACCATATCGAGCGATACACTCAGCAGATAATCTCATCATTTGTTTTTTGCATTTATGTAATAAATCAAAATTCACATATGAATTACATCTGATTAGCATGAAGTAATCAAGCAACAAATATTAAGTTCAATCGATTTGTATACATTTCAATAAATTTCGACAACTTTCAGTTTTGTCAAAAAACTGATTTAATATTAACGTCATTTTTCTTATTTACCTGTCTTTCTTTAGGCTTAATAGGATTTGAAAACATTTTAGAACTTGCCTTTTATGGTCATAGGTATGTTTTGATACAATTCATTTTTCGACTGAACCCTGACGGGGACTGCGACTAAATTTTACGACAAAATTGAAAGTTGTCGAAAACTTTTGAAATGCATACTCAGTAGTGTATACAAATCTACATTCAGATTTTTATTATGAACAGCAACTGGATCATTATCAAAGCCACATTAATCGAATAATGTAGTCTGAAATCACTAAAATCGTGTCATAACAAGAAATCAGCGTAGAAACAAGTAATCTTATGATTATTTGAAAAAATTTTTCAATTAGTACATTCTTTAGAATCAATCAAAAAAAACAGTTTTTGTGAAAGTTTCAGTTATTTCTACATTTATTTCACAAGGATATAGCGATTACACTAAGTAAACAATTTTCGAGTTAAAAAAATTTGATTTTTTAAGATTGTGTGCACAAAGAAAATTAGTAGGTACCGATTTTCCTATGCCGATTTTTCGAGCTGGAAAAGCTACAGTTAATCATGGGAATCGATATCGAACAAGATGAATCATAAGAAATTTTGTAGGAATATTTTGTGATAATTTATGTGTCTGCTAGCAAAAATAAGGGATTTGAAATAATAATCCTATAAATTATAAGCAAACCTTGATAAAAATAAAACGAAATATCTTTACGAAAAGGTCAAAGTTCGACCAGCATCCGACAGTTTCCTTTCATTTAAACATAAACATGTTTTCAAATAGCTTTAAAAAGTTGTTTGAACCTATTAGACAAGACTAGAAATTTTAGTATTATTTGTCCCACATTAAAGTCTTCATCGAAAGATTTCTGACGATTTTACAAAGAGTAAAACTCAAGGACTCCAGATTTTATCATTGTTGGAACTTTGCGTTTCTCCATAGCAAAAGAAAGAATTGAGCATTTTAATATGATTTATCTGATTCAATAGAAATGCATTTGATAAATGAATGCCGTATTTCAAGGTATAAATATGAATTAAATATTATTATTATTTTAGGATCGCATACATGTTCATTCGCTCTTCACTTACCATCATATTCAACGATTGAAATCATGTACGAACGTTTGAATTATGCAATTACACATTGTTCGAGTATTGACGCTGATGGTTAAAACTGAACAAAAGCTACTTGAGAGCATAAACTTAAACTCGAATAACAAATGTCAATACTTTAAACGGTTTTTTTAAAATTAATTAATAAAGATTGCATACCATCTAATTACATACTTTTACTGTTACAAAAGTAAACACCTTTATTACTTTTTATTTATGATACACTAATGCTCACTAGAAGCTTTTTATCTTTTGATTAAATAAATTTTACGAACATATTTATGCGACGAAATATTTTCTCCTTCTCATCTCTTTTTACAGAGGACAGGAAGATCATCAAATCACATATATGTATCCTACTCTTAGTACAAGTTTATATATTCTATAGAATGCGATTGACTCCAACCAAGATTGTTAATGCATTTATTGTTGGAAAGAATTCTTAACTTTTTTTTATGCTGTAAGATAATCTCATGCTGACTGTATCCTTAAAAATAACGATAAAACGATGCCAAAGATGCTTTGATTTCTGATACATTCGAAACTCACAAATTAGTCAAAAACTAGGGTGTGGGTCTGGTTGTGGCTGTAGGGTGTGGGGGTGGATCTGGGTGCGGCTGGATGGGGTGAGTGTGGGTGGGTGGGTGTGGGTGTGAGGGTGTGGGTTGGGGTGTGAGTGGGTGTAGAGTGAGTGTGGGTGTTTTCGCTGACCTACGCATACACCCACATCCACACCCACACTCACACTCACCCAACCACACCCCACACCCCAACCCACACCCTCACACTCACGCCCACACGCCACCCACACCCATACCCACACCACACCCACCCCACCCACACCCACACACCCTATACATATATATGTATAGCCGTACCCACACCACATGCACAACATTGTTTTCTGACAGATAAGCAATAAAATTGCCGATGTCATGTTTTTTTTTGAAAAAGCACTAAAAAGTACATTTATTGAAGCTATAAGAGTACTATCAAGAAAAAAGAAATAAAAGCGAAAGACGATTGTTACTTTCTATGCTCATACAATAATTTAACAGTAATGCGAACGAATAAGGTAACTCCTGTTGAAGTTAAGACGAAGACAATTTTTGTCAATGCCAATAAGAAGACAACTTTTGCCAATCCTAATAATAAGATAAGTTCTTCTAAAATCGATTCGAATAAATATTCTAATGAGTCATCAAAACGAAATCGATCAACGTATGATTATTGTTAAACGAATCATTCTTTGAATAATATTTTCGTTGTTCATTTCCTAGTCGTCGCTGTAATCTACTGACAGCTGTTTTATGTATCCTCTGCATACTACTCGCTATGGCAGTCTGCACAATCGTACCTTTTGTCGTCGTTAGTCAACTTCTACAAAAGACAACTTCAACTATAATAACAGGTGGTTAATGCTTTTTTAGTGGAATTTTCCTTATTTATCCTTAAGACTTTATTTAGATACAACAGCAATTGGATCAAATAGCACAGCGGTACATGAAAATATATTCATTGCTGTTTTCTTATTAATATGTTTTTCTTGCAGGCATCAAATGTATCAACTAGCAGTGCTTCTACAAGCTCCACAATCTTAGCAATTTCGACTAGTTTATCAACTGTTTCAAATTCTATTACTCTAGCAATGTCTTCAAGTTCTAATAGTTTAGCAACTTCTTCAACTGCTGCAAGCTCCACAACTATTGTAAGTATATATAGAGCGAGTTCGATGCTAACAGAATTGTGGAGAGGTCAAATCGAGCTATTACATAAACAATCTGCTTAGTTCAGACTGAGAAAAATGAAAATTTTTCAAAACTGAACGGTGAAACTTCTGTTATCCTAGTTTACACTAATTTTCATTCGAACTTATTTATAGCTTGTCAGTTATTTGAAAATAAACTCTGAATGCAGCGAGCATTTTACTGTTTGAAGTTTTCTTAAACGAGAAACCAAAATGTTCATGTATACTGAATTCGTGCATCTTCAACTATAACATGAAATGAATTGAACTGTTTTCATAGTGATGCAGTTTAGATTGCGAGTGATTACTACAAGTTCGGTTGATATTCTAGTTTTAATAAGCATAATATGATTTGATTTTATGGCGTCTCATATTTCATGGGTTGTGGACTACTCATTCTTATTGACTCTCACACATTCTCATAGATATTAAGGATCAACATGTATTATTCTCCAGTATCTATGTTAATATATTGAAGTTCGAAAGCGGCAAACATTCTAGTATGCGTCTTTTCATTATAAATTCGTCAAAAAAATCAGATTATATGAGAATGACCAGAATCCTCATTTCGAACATTACAGCCAAAAATGTTTCAATAAAATATGCTATGTTCTAGAAAGTTCCTGATGGCAAACTATTATACGAACGGTGAATAATAATAAGATTACTGTTTTCAAAGGATAGGTGATGGTTTTTTTTTGCCTATGTTCAACAAATTCAATTTTAATAATTGTTTCATAAAGGAATAAAGCGCATTATGATATAAAATAGACCTTATGTTTTGCAGTGATTTTAAAGTGAATACGTAAAACACTTAGAACTCAATCATGCTTTCAGTTTTCCATCGATGCTATAGAGAAATCTTGATGATCAAACTTTAAGAATATTTTTTTTCCTATGTGCGTATTACTTTGGTAATTAGACGAATTATTTACTATTAGATAAAGTATCTCAAAATATGCATAAAAAATATTGCCATCATACACTCAAACACAGTGTTTGTTTCAATGTGAATTATATACAGATAGATAGAAATTTTCATCAGCTATAAATCTAGGTAAAACTTCTGAAGAAAACACGAACTAATCTGTTTTGAATGCGAAAGGCTTCGTTGGTGCACATGAAAATGTTTTTTGTTTTTTTATTCTGACTACTTTCGCTCCTTACAACAATATTCTCAATCTAAATAGATCGGTTTTTTCAAATCAATGTTAAAAATACCCTCAACTTATACATGTGTTAAAGTTTTTCATGATTTTGATTTTTTAACTCATTTGGGAACGTAGTTTTGAATTAAACCAAAATTTTAAATTCAATGAAAAATCACAGTTATGAATACGTTTGACGCAGATAAAGGTTGAGGATGTTTTGGACGGTAAGCTAAAATAATCAATCTATATAGATTGAAAATATTGTTATAAAGAGCGAAATCATTGAATAGCAGTCAGAAGAAAAACATATTCATGTGCACAAACCAAATCTTTCACATTCAAAATAGTATGGTAGCTTTTCTCCGCACAAGTTTTACATAGATGATAGTTGATAGAAAATTTTGTCGACTTGTATGTAATCCAGATTAACCAAACACTTTTTCTGTACATATGATGACCTG